TTTTAATTTTTTAAATTGATTAAGATTTTATTTTACAAATATTACACCCCGGCTATTATAAATACTGAATACTAATTAAATTTCTTTTAATATTACTATTTGTGTGAAGAAATGAATAATTATGATAGATTGAGACTGTAAATTATCTAAGTGAATGTGCATTCTCGGGTTATGGGTGATAAAATCCCCCATGATAAGAAATAAATAAACAGGGTGTTCCGTAATTAAGGAAACGGACTTCTATTGTTCTCATTGTTGGTAACAATCGACCTGTTTCCTTAGATACTGAACCCTATGTATAGTTAAGATGTATTATAGGGGGTAGTAAAAAATAATTCAAGACTCTGAAAAAACCACTGGGTGTCAGAGTATAAATATTTTGAAGAACTAAATAATTGACAACACAGTCAGTGAGCGATAAGTGGACCGCTCACCTTAATATGTGACTTTTTTAAATATCATATTAAAAGAGTATATGGCGCATTATAGATACGTTTATCATAATAAAAGTTTATAAAAACAAATATATTCTACTTACAATATGTACATTATTTTAAAATAACGAGGAAATATTGACATGTACGTATTCTGTTTTAAATTTTGAATTTTGCTAAAATGTTTATGCACAATCATAATAAGGTTTTTGATTTGAAAAAATCGCAAAATTATAATTTTGTTATTTTTTTAGTATATATATATATATATATAAAGACGAGGTATTTATAAATTAATTGGCTTTCCTCAATTTTCCCTTTTTCCTTTCACTTCTCCTTAAGAGTTATTTAAAACTACCACTGAAAACAGTTATATTTTTAAAAAGTAATTGACAGTTTTAGAAATAATGAAAAAAATTACCTAAATTTTCCTCATTGTCAAAAGTACAGTAAGAAAAATAATTAAGATATCAAAAATTAATATAAACAGGTAATAAATTGTGACTATATCTAAGAAAACTTCAATTATACAATTTTTATTGAGATTTAAGCTGTGAAACTAAGAATGAAAGGTATAATGGGTCAAATTTTTTTGTACCAATTAGTATATTTGAAGATAAGGTGTCCATTTACATTGCTCTGCACTTACTAGAATTTATGTAAAGAGCAAAGAGAATCTTTAAAATTAATACAGTTAATTGATGGAAGTAACGAATTAAAAGAGAAATGGCAGGGAGATCTGCCTGAAATATCTACATGACTAGGAATCCGATGGAAATAAATCGATTTTCTAAGTAAATAAATAAATCAACAGTTTAATTTTCGTTTTAAATCCATTTTATTAGGACTCGATTAATTAAATGCACAGTTTTTGTACATAAAGAAAATTAATAGTGATTGAGTAAATTTTTTCAGTTTTCAAAATCTCTCAAACAATTTGAAGATGCTAAAAAAATTATAGATTTTTTTGTTATAATTTGTATTTATCATCCTCTTAAGTAAGTAACTAAATGCTTATAATATCGAGAGAAACATAAAATGTTGTTCTTGTTAATCATATTATTATTAAGCTACAACAAAATTGAATAGACTTATTGAAAATAATTCTTTTTTTAATTATATACTTTTAATACAGTCTAATGTAATAGAAAATTTAATTGTAAACAAATAACTTAAAATCATGAAAAAGGGTGATATACTATTTCAGGTAAGTATATTTATATATATATGTTAAAAACAAAACAACGGTAGTCAATAATTTTTAATAATGTTTCCTCATAGTCAAGCCACGCGTGTAAGCTATTGACTTTCCGGTCACGTGTGCATGATAATATTGCTGTTATTGTTGACTCTTTTACTAAAAAAACTATGAGATATAATTTAAATTGTTAGGATAGCCATCGTCAAAATATTTTTTTTTCATGTGTTTCATGTGTGTGGTACATTTAATATTATTAATGCTTGACCGTTATGTTTAAAATCAATTTTATTAAAAAGTTGTTATTTATTTATTTGGGTCTTACAATAAGCTGATGTTTTGAAAATAGGGTTCTGTGTGATTCCCAATAGTAATAATATAATTAATTTTAGATTGTACACGATTTCGATTAAGGTTAATTAAAAAAAATATGATCCCACGTATAAAAAGTTAACAATCTGTTTTCTTTTAAAATAAAATAAATGAGTTATGTGGAACAGTTTTATTGGTATTATAAATGCTTAAATATTGTTTTTTTCAATTTTTAGGTTTATAATATCTATTTCTAAAAAAAAAAAAACGGTAGCACAGAAGGGTTGAGGCACAGTATGGACGTGGTATAGTTGGGACAAGTATAGATGATATCTGACAGTGATTTAAATCACTATCATAAGAATAGATTCGATGCAAATTTGTAGATAGTGTTCATTTTAAGAAATTGGTGGATTACTCCAAAAGCAAAATTAACCCATCGGGTTTTTTTTACCAACCCTAATATCAATATAAAATTATCATCGGTGGTGATATTGTCATGAATTTAAAGCTCCGTGTCAACCAAATCTATTAACGACTTTTATACATATATGTTATATATTTTTTTTCTTTATTTTATTAATAAGTCCATAAATATAACTTGCCTTGTGAATTTATTTCTTTCTTATGTTAACATAAAAGTAATGATTGTTTTCAACATTTCGTGATAATTTATTCATCTTAGAATTAAGTGACGCCGAAGTATTTTGGGTCAATTGTGCAAAAAATCGGCGGTATTGACGAGGATGTAAGACACAGGATTAAGTGCGAGTGGTTGAAGTGGAGAGAAGCGTCTGGCGTCTTAATAAAAATATTCCAATGAGGCTGAAAGGTAAATTCTACAAGACTGTAGTGAGGCCAACAGCTATGATGTATGGTTCAGGGGGTTGGACGGTTGATAAGAGAGTAGAGCAGAGAATGAGTGTAGCAGAGATGAGAATGCTTAGATGGATAAGTGGAGTGATTAGAGAAGATAGGATAAGGAACGAGCATATAAGAGGGAGTATAGTTGTAGCGTCAATCGTGGATAAGGTAAGAGAAAATAGACTAAGATGGTTTGGTCATGTTATGCGAAGAGAAGAATTAGAAGCTGTAAGAATAGTTATAGAAATGCATGTTGAAGGAAGAAGAGATAGTGGAAGACCAAAAAAGTGATGGAGGGATGCTATTGAATGCGATATGAGGACAGCTGATGTGAGCGTAGATGATGTGGGAGATCGTGTCAAGTGGAAGTTTAGGATAAAGGTGGCCGACTCCAAGTAGTTGGAATTAAGGCGAAGAAGAAGAAAAAGAAGAATTAAGTGACACCGAAATATTAATAATTTGTCCGAAGATGTCAATCTTTCTATGAAATGCCGTAATCTTGTTATTGTGTTATAAATAGTACTACGGTTCCTGAATTGATATTGGGTGATATTTCTAGTGGGATTAAACAGTTTTAAAAAAGTGTAGAAACAGTGTTCACAAGTATTTTAATAATATATTCACAGACTTTCGTGGAGTATATAGCAACGCTTATGCTCATGTTAGTAATTAAAACACCTTCCGTATTAATTTTTTTACTAAACCAAGTTCAATATATTTGCGGCCCTAAAAATTTTAATTTATTAGATTTGAATTTATGAAAAATTAATTTTTTTATTTTTGTAAAAAGAAGGGTCACTTACTTCTAAAATATTTTCCTCGAAATATTCTTCCCGGTATCATTCCCTCTTTGTCTCTCTTTAAATGCCATACTGTCCGTAAAATCAAAGTCATTACTTATATAGACGGAATTTTCTATGCCATTCAATTGTTGATAATTGTGAAACGTTAGTAAGCATCGTTCAAATTGGCTAGTATTTATTATTTATACGCGATAAGATTTATCAGCGTAGATGGAATACTTAAAAAATATCAGTTGTTTTTATTGGTTAGGTCGAGTGATAAACATTTAAAACTGAAATTTTAGAGCTACTACATTATTTGTCGCGCAAAGCTAAATACGAGTATACCTGTACTCATTGATAAACCAATAAATTAATTAAAAAAAATTTATTCCAGCAGAGACTGTGGTAACCTTTGACTTCAGTTAAGACTCGAGCGTCAATTAATCAGGAAATCAAGTTTGTTTATTTTAATCGTTGATTGTAACAAAACTAAAATATCGTTTTTAAAATTAAACATTTTCAATATATGTTAATCAAGAATTAATACACGATAATATTAATATGTATACATATTTTAACGAAGTTTAATGTGTTCATTCAATGTAAAGAACACAAGTATAAGTCCTACGGACAGGAAGTCCATAAGACACATATGTGGCATTCCCAATTAAAATGTCAGTTACCGCACATATAAACATGAACAAGTAATGTTCATATTAACCTGTCCGTAGACGTCTATACGACGGTATGCAAATTTATGTAAGTAGTTAAAAATGCAAAAATTAAGTAGCTCTAAAAAACTTTTAATTAGGTCATGACTACTAGTGTAAACTCCAAATAATTGAATAGAAATTTTTAGTTTTCAAGTGTCAATGAACAAATAGTTTTAAGACAATTTTTTTTTAATTGTCAACATTGAAATTGATCAATCGAATCGCCTAATCGGTTTCAGTAAAATAATTGGAAAAATGATTTAAAAACAGTTGTTTCTAAAAAGTTTTGTGTTAATCAATTGTGTTTAAATATCGTAAAATGCCGTTGTGTTGTATGAAATTGATAAATTAGTATTGGTAAGTAAGCGCTGTCGTATGGAAGTATTGTCTAGTTGTACTCATTGCAAACGACAAGCGACAAGGTTTATAGTAACACCCATTTTCATTGGTGTAATCAAAATACTAGACGTTCTTTGAAACGGATCGTTCAGTATCGCGGAAGTGATGTGGAGACTCATTTTTTAAACGGGTCGTGTGCGTCTACAAAATCGTTACCCTTTCCAAGTTAAACGAGTAATGTCCGTGATATTGTTATTTTTTGTAACAGTCCGTTACAAAGTCAATGAATTGTGCAGTACAGAATTTAGAGTGGGACGTACGATAGTTTCCCCTTCACTGGTCCCCATCTGCGAGTCGGCTGTCATCGACCAATGGCAGACGTCCGGAGTTGGTCTACCGGGAGGAGCGTCCCGTCCAACACTGGGCAGGTCGTTTGCCGGTGCCCGCATCAGTGTTAACCCCGAAGCCGCAACCGATCTGTCTGCGCCGAGTACCGAGTCATAAATCGTGAACATTGTCCGATTTAGTGTAATCACTGACCGCGTTTAAAACACTTGGAGGTTATAGAGCCAATTTGATTTTTTACGATCCATGTGTTTTTTCATCTGAAGTACTCCACATAAATAGTTTAATATTTTCTTTTGTGTAATTATTTTTTGTTTTGCATTATTGGTTATTTTTTGTGTTTCCTACAAAACAATTTTCATTATGGCCAAATCCGTCTTTTTTAGGTAAGTAGGTAGTGTTATTATAGATTTTCGTTTGGTTTAAAAAAAATCGCAAACTTATGGTCACAATAGTAAAACAGATCGCAGTGAAAATGTTAAGTGATTCTTTTTAATTAAGGACTTTAAATTTCAAAAATATGTTGAACTTATACGAAAAACGATTCAAAATTATTCATTTGTCTTTATTGACATTCGAAAATAATAATTTTTAAAGTTTTTACTTCAGTGGGTTTTTCAAAAAAAATTGCGTAGGCTTATTTAGGTTGTGGCGAAAACTAAGTTAAAGCATTGCAATATACTTGAAACAAATTAGAATAATAAACTATTAATAATGTGCAATATGATTTTTATGCCCTTAAACATTTTAGTTGTTTATATTTTAGTTTAATAAAAAAACTTGACAAATTAACATTATTTACTCATAAAATTTGTCTGGTAAGTTTTGATTTCCGAACCAATTATTATCGTTTTTATTTTATTTAATATATTCCTAAAAAGAGTTCTCGGATTAGAATTTTCAGAATACATTCCTGTTTAAAAATGATTTAGGAAAAAAAAATAATGATCAGCAGTAATTTCTGAACGTTTTATGTTACTCTAGAGTAAACAACGAGGTCTATTGGGGTTTACTCAAGTTATAAGTAAAATAAGTCAAAACTTATTTACTTTAGATAAAAATGAAAAATAATTTTTTTATGTAGTAAAATATTTTTTTCAATTGAAATGACATTTGCGTAGAGATATTAAACAAATTAAAAGATATTTGATTCAGACGTAAACGACTATTATTAAATAAACATCTTACATAACTAAAATATATAAAAAAAAAGGTATAGTGCAATTTAGAAATTTTATTAATATTTAATGAACCTTTAAATAACTTCACGCAAACTTAATTATTGCACGTCACAGTACCGTAGGGCTTAACGCAAATGATACCTCAGTGCAGTCTATGGATATGATTTATTTAAGATTTATTTATTTATTTATTTGTCTTTGGATTAGATATAATGTTCACAAAGAATATTAGAGCGATTTATAATAGTAAAAAATTATTCAAATTGATATTCTGTCTGACTCTCTTCACTGACGACATTACTTATGTTTTAGCTGTCGGTTAGATTGAGTCTACGCTTTCAGATAATAAAAAATATCAAGATTTTTAATAAAATACTGATTTAGCGTTGCTGAATATAATTTTTGGTAACAAATACTATCCTGGTTTTTAATTTAACATCAGTAGTTTTGTGGCTTATCCGAATAAGGACAGTAAAGACTTAATTACTGTCCATACATCATATGTCTTGATTTAATTATGGCGTTTTACTCGGTAATTTTGATGTTTTAAAATAAACAACAGTAAAAGTTTTATTTTTAAAGTTCAATGAAACCATATTGTATACAACATTAATATTATATTTGTACTTTTATTTTCGCATAATTTGTTTTATTCAGTAATAAAATTCAATTTTTGTCTGTTGAGCTTGATTTGCATACCTAATTTGATATAAATAATTCAATTTTGTTTACCCGTTTAAATATTCATGTTTTGGCGATGAGATAAGTAATTTTACTGTAATATTTATAAAAATAATTATTCGGTTTGAATTGTTTCTGATTGTTTATCGGTACTTTCTAATAATTGAGGATTTTATTACTTCTTCTAAAAAAGGCTACCTACTTTTTTTCATACTCTATTAAATAAAATCGATAGTCTTGATGTCACGCCAGTAGACAATTAATGAATAATTTAAAATATCAAACATAAATCTTTAATCGTTTTTGTTACTCTGATGTATTAATTCTATATTTTTTCAAACTATAAATTATTCATAGTGAAAAGTAAAACGTACTACTGATCGCTGTTAGTTTATATGTCAATTTTTCAAAGGGACAAAACATGTGTTGTAATAGATTCGACTAAATTAGGCTGAACGTCTCTGAGATAAATTTCTGAATCATCCGTGTTTCTATTTTGGATAAAATAATATTAGAAACACTTGAATGAAAAAATTGAATTATAAAGAAGTGCATGGGTAACTATTGGAATTTTTTTCAATTGTTATTTTCTTAACAATATGTACAAAATAATATGGTGAAAATATTTTTATAGGGACAATAAAAAAATTTCTTATTTCTATCCCAAGATAATGTTCCGAGTACGCTCCTAATGAATTGTACAATTGGTACGAATAATTAAATTATACCTATTTTAATCATCTATTTTGTAGTAAAATAATATAAATTAATCTGATAAAATATTTAAGTAAAGGTTCAGAATAAGGGCATTAATTTTTACAATAATAGAGTTTAAAAATAACCCAGTCAATGTGTTAAAACATAATGACACGTGTAATTATTAATTTTTCTTGGATGGTCGTCCACTTTTTTGCTTCTTGTAAATAAAAACACGATCTATTGTTTCCGTGATTCCAGGTAAAGTTACAATGACTAATTAAAGATTAAATAACAATTGTGAGACAATCCAATTAAAACAAGAATATGTTAGATTCTTAAAGTTCTGTTATTTTTAACTATTTAAATAAAAAAAAAAAAAAAATGATTTTTTAAATCATTAAATATTGTTTTTTTATAAGCAATAATTAAAAGACAAATTACCGTTTTTCTTTTATATTATAAGAATAGAATTCTTCTATTATCTGGAATGGGGAAATCAATAGTAGGTAAACGACGAATTTAAAAAAAGGTTGAAATTGAAATTTTTTATCGTGGACATCTATGGAATTTGTTTAATGTATTTATCATCCGTAAGTTTACTGATTTTTTAGACTCCTCCATGTGATTTCACAATAAATTGACATCTAAGTGCGGTTGGGTCTTTATTAATAATCAATTAGATTCACCTTGAAGTCTTATTTCAAGATAATGTGTTTCTAACTGAAAAACTGAGTAGTTGATTTATCTTTTACAGATTATGCTAATATTTTTCAGATGTTGACAACAATAGCGTGTCCATTGCGCTAGTTCATTCGGAGACTGCCCATGAAGTTGGGACGTTCAGCGAGTACGACACCGTCTCCACAGCACCACCAGTCGTCCATGTCACCCACGGCAGGCACCAGCGTCCGGTGGTCGCATCGGAACAGCGCTTTCTATCCCGTCAGGCATTCCGATACGGTTCCAAGCGACCTGTCGATATCCATGACGGCGGCCGGTGCTAATCACCTCTCGCCGTACGGCGGTTTTATTAACGGTCTCATGCCCATGTCGCCTTACTTGTGGCCGCTGATGATGCCGTATTCGCCGTTGACCGGCTGCAGCGGACACATGATTGCAGCGGCAGCGGCTGCAGCGGCCGCCGCAGCATCTTCCACTAATTCGTCGGCCGGCACAACGATTCGCGTGTCTCCGGACCGTGTCAGCGACGACATCGGCCAAACGCCGGAAAAAGCCAAGTTCGGTGAGCATTATAAAAAACTGTTTTCATACGGTGTACAATCTAGTTATTTTTTTAATTAGCGCGCGCCATTGTTCGTGACACGTTATTTTTTCGTGTATTTCTCAAATAATTGAAAATTATGTTTCAGACGACGCGTCCGATTCGCCGTTGAACTTGAGCGTGAAAAAGAGGAGTCAAGAGATCTGGTCGCCGGGCAGTCTGTGCGAAAAAGAAAAATCTCCTCTGCCCTTACCGCCGAAAAACTTCACCTCGGACAACTCGTTGGGCGTAGAGAGGTCTTTCCAGGTTAGACGACCCCTCACCAGAAGCATAACGCCTATGTTTACACGCACGCCATTTGCCTAAGTAAATCGCTCCGCACAGTTTTATTTTCATGCACTTCAACGCTGCAGTAGAACTTGTTAAATTTTGTGTTGTACACTTAAGCTTTTTCGTGTTAGGCACCGTTTTAAAAAACCTCTCTGTTGTCGACCCACAACGGTCGACGACCATGTTCTCTATACATCAGCAGTGTTTTATCGTCGAGTTGCTCGACATTTCGACACGGGTTATGTTATGTTAATTTGTTTGTGGAAGACACTTTTTTTTTCAAAACTATAATTTTAGAATGATTTTGTGTCGAAAACAACGATTTAATATTTTTAATTGGCTTACTAAACAATGTTAACCGACTTTATTTTGCTTAATTATCTTGTATCATTTTAGGTGGATTTTTTTATTTTAAAATAGAATTTAAACATACGCAGTTCTCGATTTAACGGTCCAATTCAACGCATTTAAACCTCATAATCATTTCTTTGTATTGTCGCGCAAACCAAGAAAAGAATGCAATAATTGTGTAACTCAATATGTGATTTTATATTTTCTTCGACGATATGCTTTTCATAAAAATATAAATCGTCCACCCGCGCCCGTAATTTGTAGTCATCTAAACGGTGTGTGTATTGACCATTAAAAAACTCTGAGTTTTGTGTTTTTAATTAGGTTTTCAGTTTACAAAAAAAGACGACTTATGGTTTTCAGGTCATTAGAATGCGCGCAATTGATAGTTATGGGGGCCGGTAAGTGAACTCATTGTCAACGTGTTTTCATTTGATTATCTCTTATCGAAAAACCATAAAAAGTGTTTTTTTTTCGAAAGCGCTACACGTTTAGGCGATATATCGGTCGTTAAACGCAGATAGTATACACAGACAGATACAATCGGTACGTTAATTGGCAATCATAAAAAAAAATAAAAATAGTACATGCGACCCAACTGGCCGACAATGCGATGTCGTCATCCGACACCGCGAACGACAGTAATTATTATTTGACACCACGTGCGGGTTAATTAACCAAATGGCATGGCGTGACAGCGGCGGCAATAACAAGAAAGTTTTAAAAAAAAATTACCGATCAAATCCAACAATTTGTGTGAATAGATACATAAAGTCGCAATCGATGCGTTTCGGATTGTATAGAGCGTTTTTTTAGTGTTTAGTTGCGCTTAATTGGTCCGCTCTATGAAATGAAAATGCGATCGAGAAATAATTGTAAGCTGGGCGGGTCCTCGTTGAGAAAGAGTTGCTGCCTTTGTGGCGTTCGTAGATAAATACTCGGAGTTTAATATAATCGAGTACGATTTTTTTTTCAATTTGTGGGCGCCAGATACAAAACTGAACCGTGTAAAAAACGATTAAACACAACCCGTTGACATTTTCCGCCGTGCGTTACCGATAAGAGATACTGAATATTGTGTTACAACGATGCGTGTCGGCTGAGCTCGTGAAGTCATAATTGTGTAAAAAATAAAAAGCTATGTTACATCTGTCGTTAGAACGACAACTCGGATTAATGGCATGCGGGTGGTGTTCATTATTATTGTTATTTTTTCAAGCTGCTCCTCTTCCATACGGTTTGTTTAAAAAACGCCTGTAGTTATTTCACGCTCGTTTGTTATGTTTCCTTAAATAATAATTCATCGGTTCGATTAAGAAAGTGTTTTCTTTGCAATCGACCTTTGACGTCGGCTACTGCGACAACGTTAACATTATGATATTCGATTACAGTGCAAGTTGTGCGGCAAAACTTTCAAAAGGTCTTCCACTCTGTCCACTCATCTGCTGATCCACTCGGACACCAGGCCTTACCCCTGTCAGTTCTGCGGCAAGAGATTTCACCAAAAGTCGGACATGAAGAAGCACACGTATATACATACAGGTAAACGCGATACTGCTTTCCGTAGTGCTTTTCAATCGAACCGTGTGACGAACGTTTTTTGTTCTGTCCCCCGACCCGTGTCAACGTTTAATTCCATTAAAATTCGTTGAAATCACATTAACTCGGATTGTATTTTTCGATGACGACTCCGGCAGTGGCCCGGAGGAGGTAAAAACGACACGCGTTTGGAGAGAGTGGCCGTTCACCGGAACGGAAAGGGAATGATAAACAAATAAGCCGAGCGGCAAGGTAAACGAATAAGTGTGTCTTGACGGTTGGCCGGAGATTTCACGGGGCACGTGGGCCGTAGGGGAACACTCGGCCGGAGTCATGTTATCGAGTGCAATAACACGACAACGACGGCGAACGCGCGATAGCGTCCCATACTTGTAGGGTAGCGGGCGGCCATAAATAATGCACGGCGCCCAAGTTGGGGAGGCCATTAACACTCGATGCGAAACCTTATTATGTATTGTACTCGTTTCGTCAATATTTATTTAAACGGTTCCGGAATAGCTAACGAAATATCAGCTAAACGTTAAAAATTCTAACGAAAAATCGAATTCTCCGAGTGTACCGGTAGTAATTGGGGATTACTTTTTGACATGGAGTGTTGAGTTGGATAAACAAGTGCGCAGTAGACGCTCTAAGGTTTTCTATGAATAGAATAATAACGTGCGCGGCGGTATTGGTGTTAATAATTTCCAAAACGTTACGAATAAATCATTACCGCGGAATGGCGATTTTTAAACTCGGGTATTGTGCAAACACATAAAAAAGTAATAATTTCTCATAAAAATGTACGTTTAGTTCGACATAGATGTCGCACTTGTTAAAAACCTGTCCACGGTAAATATTTGTTTTGAATACTCGTTGTAAATTTCAAATGGGAACACTTAGGTGACTTACGAGTTTGCTGTTGAAAACAATGATTTTGTCTGGCGACACTAGACATATGGTAACGCGTATTTATCTTTTCCCGCCGTTGGAAGACCGTGTTGTCCAAACGTCTATATTCGTGTTGATCGCTGTGGAAAGGTTACAACCTTCACACGATAAACTCTGTAAAGTCCCTCCCCTCTCGCAATATAAGTATAATATATCGAGGATTTCGCGCGTCCTACGTGTATTTCAATATCTGTCGTTTTGCAGGCGAGAAACCTCACAAGTGCGTCGTGTGCTACAAGGCGTTCAGCCAGTCGTCCAATCTGATCACTCACCTGCGTAAGCACTCGGGTTACAAGCCGTTCCCGTGCGGCCTGTGCGACAAGGCGTTCCAGAGGAAGGTGGACTTGCGCCGGCACCGGGAGAGCCAACACCCCGGGTCGCCGGCCCAACAGTGTCAGATCACCAGCACGACGGCGGCCGTCGCGGATTACCAGCAGCAGCAACCGCAGCCGCAGGGAAGCGCGGAAAACAACAGTTAGTCCGGTCCCTCCGGCCGTGAGCGTCCTAGGCGTGTTGTTTTGTAAATAACTATTTATTCGTATCACCGGGACGGGACGACAACAGACAGCTCGCGCAGAACTCCAACGAGCAGAGAGTAGTGGACTCTTGGAAGGATTTTCCAGTGGGCAATTAGGTTGCTGAACGTGCGCCAAGTCTGCGCGTCCGATGCCAACGCATTGCATACTCGGTGGCAGCTATTAAGAGACGGTCATGTTTTCCGGGTCTGAACGGCTCTGGAGGTGGTCGAAAACTCTGAACCTAGTCGGCGCAGTCGTCCAAACGGGTCTAGTCCGTCAAAGCTTACCAAAAAAAAATATTATAAAAATTAATAAAAAAAAAAAAACGTTGTAGTGTAAATCTTTGTTAAATAATATCCGACTCGCAACAAACCGCGTTTACTTCGGTATGTTAATGCGTTTTTTGATATTGTACACCTGTCCCACGAAAATGTACGGTAATGCATGTAACGGGTTAAAAAAACCGGTGTGGTAATAGTAAAATTTGTATGACTAATTTTACATTCGAAAAACGCAATCTCAATGTGTAAAATGTTATTCCACACGGCCAACAGTGTAATTATTGCACACAACGCGCACTCTCCAGACAATAAATAGGTTAAAATTTAATCGAAAATTGTTTTTTATGTTGTTTCTTTATCGGTTTTATCGACACAGTGTAAAAACAAATGAATGACATATCGGTCCGTACAGACTGTGGAATCATTATTTTAATTATAACTATTTTTTTTATATTGTACAGAGTAGTACCAAATGAAGAAAAACGAAATGTTATGTTTTTTAATTGATTACGGTTAATAATAGTATTATTATTACATAGTTATGATTATTTTTCGTATAGTTCCTTTTTATTAAGAATTATTATTTAAGCATCTTTTTGTAACGCGTTTCGATACGTGATATATTATTATACTTTTTAGTCAAATAATTATTTTAATTTGTATAAACACCAAAGAAGACATGATAATTATTTATTTTCACGTGCCATTGTGCACAGCCTCTCACCCATATGATCACAAAATAACGCACACATTTATATACCCACCCTCACAGTCACCAACTCATTCTTAAAAAAAAAAAAAAAAATGTTTAATTTTTATTTTAGTTAATGATTGTATTTATATTTCTCATTTAATGCTTATCGCGAGATATGACTTGGAAAACAAAAAATAAAAACAGAAAAAGTTGATAATAAAAAAAATTTGACTATCTTAAAAAGTTGTTGTATTATTTTTTTTAAACTCAATTTACTGTACAATCCAATCCTGTACCGGTCGAGTAATAGTGAAAATAAATCGCGTGTTGGGTTATTATTTCACTTTTCTATCTAAAAAGTGATGCGGCAGTTCACTTTTACTGCCGTTATAACCGTTTTTCTATAATTACCTGTACAACAGACGTTTTCTTTATTTTACCTTCAACAACTGTGGTTTGTTATATATAAATTAAAGACCGTTGTCTTGCTACTATCAGCTACGGAACACAGACATACATGTTCTCGGTCCGTTGTGACACCTGTCGGGCAACGGCAAAGTCACCTGCGCCTTTAAGCGCACCTATACGCGAGGACCAATGCCAGGTGTACCTTGTGTATGTAGAAAGCCCGTGTTTTAAATTAAACGTATATTGCTAAAAAATTACTTAAAGATTTTGTGCGCCACCTGTATATTAAGCTCTGTCAGAAATGTACTCTTGGCTTGAATGGCCATGAATATTTTAACGTTAAATCTGAAGACAAAAATTGAAGAAAAAAAAAACATTTTCTGTTGTCAAACAACTGAATCGTTAAAAATGATTGACTTTCATTTTAAAAAAGAAAAAATTATTTTCAGCGTAAGCGCAAGGATAATGTAAACTGAGAAACTATTAAAAATGTGCCATTAATTTTCGGAAATATCAGTTGATAATTAAAGAATAATATTTTTCGATGAACTCGCTACTTGGGATTTTTAAACAATTTTCAGACGCTGAATGGAAGTGCTGTGAATTTCAATAACTTGTATGTGTGTCGTCAATATTATTTATTTAAAATATGTAATTAACAATCAGAGGAAAACAACTCGCGGGTTGAGAAAATCTTATCTAAGAAAACTGATTAACCGGTCTGATAATTCAGATTAACCATAAACCTTCTGACATCCGTTCGGTCAATTAACACCGTAGTATAGTACGAGAGGGCGTAACTAGAACGGGACATGCGTCAGTCGTCTGATTGCTCTGCGGAGGGTTCCTAAAAAAATAGCAGCATGTATTGTTCCGAGAAGAAAGACTGGCACGCTTTTTGACCGGAGAAAGTGAAATTAACGGTATAACATATTTTCGGCAAACGCCTCACAATAAGTGTATTAATAGGAGACACACGGGTATATGGCTGAGAGCCGGCTGTTACGCGCCACAGAGAACAGTTGACTTAAAAAAAAGGGAAAAAGCCACACACACACACGGCAATAATAAAGGCACTGTGATGATGAACCCGCAAGTGAACTGGTCGGACGAGTGTCATGTGGGATATACACGTTGGCACGGGGCACGTGCCTCTCCTCGACAGATGGCATTCACCTGGCCGTACCTGTGTATGTATTATTTTTACACTGTATATACAACAAACCCTCATCATTAGTCGCACTTAACCGATTTATCCACACACTGGCATCGAAGAGCTAACGTTATTTTTTTTTTCTGTTACTTTTTCGTGTTATCCTCGTCGTTATTATTACTATAAGCCGAAAAGCAACGGGGTCTTAGTAGTTAAGATGCTCGAGCGCCAGACAACACCCGTCGTCTATCCAAAATCACAGATGGGTCACTGACTTCGTACGAACCCGACGTCGTTCATTTAAAAAATCTCTTGCGATTTAAAAATGGAAATAAACTGTCTCTAGTTTTTTTTTTTATCATTATGATAAAATGTATTTCGTAGACTATATACAATTCTACACGCAGTAGTTACGCGTCACCAAGTTAAATGACTTTAGCGTCGCTGGTTGTTCCAATTGAATAAATTATTTTGAGTGTTATGACAATTTTTTTTCCTGAAAAGTGCCCCTTCGGTTTTCGCGTCACCTTATATCGTACCAGAAATTCACGAGATGAGCCGCAACGGGTATACATAGTTGATGTTTTAGACCGAATTTTTCAACAAATATCAACACTTATTACCAGTAATTCATTAGGATAAATGTTTGTGTTCATAAGTGTTTCGAGGAGACGAGCGGTTCTTCGTGGCTCTATTAACACCACGTTATCTGTATAGTCTGGTGTATTATGCGCTAGGTCACTTAGCTTTTGGGGTGGCTCAGTTTATTTAAAATTTCTAAGATTGTGTCACGCAAGGTGTCCTCGGTCTCGTTAACGGTTTTCAAATGGTCACCAATATTAATCAATATCGTGATCCTAATAATGTTATTTTATTATCGATAGTTCTTATAAATTATTGGTACCATAATTTTATTTTCCCTCTAAAACTCTATAAACCGAATCCCAAGTCAACCGATTTAAATAATTAATATACTATTCAAGCTCGCCAGAATAAGTTTTTAAAACTTTTCTTTGTATTTATTTAATACCAGACGGATGTAGGATTAATTTCAGTGCTTAGATTTTTTTTTTTTTAATAATGAAATTATACATAAAAACCAATTTTAAAACAAACTACAATATAATTTACCAGAAATATAAACAATTTTTAATTACATTTTGGTTGACTTTTTATAAATCGTATATATTATCATTTTATTTTTTTAGTGTGTAACAACATGTTTTATTTAATTGAATTTATATTACACCGAATCATACAATTCTCGGTCATATTGAAAATTTATTGTATCAGAAAATGTATCAATTAATTTATATAATTTTGTATCATCTGCAAATAATAAAATGTTTGATTATTTAATTACATTAACTACATCGTTGACATACAAAAAAAAAAGTAAACTAGATAAACTTGTNATATAATTTTGTATCATCTGCAAATAATAAAATGTTTGATTATTTAATTACATTAACTACATCGTTGACATACAAAAAAAAAAAGTAAACTAGATAAACTTGCGGAATGCCACATGTAACGTTTATGATACTCTCCATGATTTATGGCGACATTTTTTAAACTGCCGTTTGTGATCTATTCGTTAAAAATGAACGAAACCAAGATAGTAACGGATTTAGTATTTCAATGAATGCAAATTTACGTTAATTTTACTGAAAGATTTTTAAAAATCAAAATAACATCAACAGGTTTGTTCAATGAAAATGATTCAATTACAAATTTTTCGAAAACTAAAAAATTAACAGTGGAACCTTTTTAGTAAAAGCTGTTGTTATAAAATTTCTTGGTTTTGGTAAATTTTTTTTCTTATAATTTTAGAAAATGTATTTGATAGAAAAGAAATGTTTGAGATTAGTCTGTAATTACAAACGCTGTTTCGATTGCCGCTTTTAAATAAACGGATAATAAAAGTAGATTTCCAAAGATCAGGGAATATTCCAGATTTTATCGAATTGTTGTACATTTTTAAAATAAAATAGTAGATAAAAAAAGGATTATTTTTTAGAAAAAAAGTACTGAAATGTGGATCAGTACATAATTTTAGATTTATTGTATTTAACTTATTAAAAACATCTGTTAAATAAATTAGAAACACTAAATAGCAGTTGTTGTATATCAAAATCAAATTTGACACACAAGATAAATAATTTTAAAAAAAAAAACATTATAAAAATATTAACTAAATAGATTAACTATATCTTTAAATACAATACAATTTGATAAATCATTTATTTCTTTCAAGAATATCTAAAATTGTTTGAGTATAACTTTTAAATTTTTTTCAGCGTTCCTTATAAAATTTCTAAAGGTTTATTGTCTGAAGCTCTTATAATCAGATGACAACTGAGAAATTATTAAGTAATATGATAGTAATTAGGTTCATTTATAAGTGTTATATGAACCTTTTTTTTATCATAAGATATTTTAGGTGGTTATTGATTAGATTAGGAATCTTTGATTTAAAATTAGAGTTTAAACAATTCAGTTGGGAATAAAAAATTGATAAATTTTTTTTAAAGTCAATATAATTATAATAAATTTAATTCAATTGAACCAACATGATTTAAAATTGCTCTTCAATGAGCTTCATGTTATAGATATATGAATTCAATAAAATTTAGATTACATAAATACTTATTAAGATACTTAATATATAGTGGAGAATTAAATTGATTAACTTTGGCGACTGGATTTTTATTTTTTAAAATTGGAATATTTTCATAATTTTTACTTACTTCATATCTTATGTTTCAAAAACAGAATTATATCTATCTTATTATGTTTCAATCCTTAATTCTTTTTAGACAAGTGATTAATTTCGCTATTATGACCACTTTATATCAGTTATATCACAATTTGAATAATTTATTTACTAACTTCTTATTATTAAATCTAGCTTTGTCACAATTTAGCATAATCAGGTAACAATTTGAGGTATATATTGTGTAAATAAAGGTTGTGCAATCAAATGAAAAATTGGTTAATAATCTTTTATAACGAAATACTATAAACGCAGAAGTTATTTTATTTGTGAACTATTAGGTTCTAACAATATAAAAACAAAACCTTCAAACCATTTCGTAAACTCAAGACAAAAAAAAAAAATTCATAAAACAATTATATTGCTATGTTTACGTAAAAAATATGTATACTTTAAACTGTTAAATAAATTCAAAAACCTTATTTGGTTATTCGCAAATTGAGTATATTAATTTGGCCCATTGGATTTAGTATACATGTGTCTTGTCGGCAACCAAACTACCTTGGCCAGCTAAAACAATTGTCTTTGGTTTCGTACATTTATTTTTTAAATCGTTGGATTATATGTACATGACACAGCAGATGGATCGCACAAGGCCAATAGGAGCTAGGGTAGGTTGTAAATAACAAGAAACAGGTGAGATGTCAATGCAATGTGCGAATTGAATACACAAAGTAGCTTTATTTTTTACTTTTATTAGCTTTGTTTTATAAATATAACGTTGTATATTTATATGAAATCATATTTTCTTGTAAGTATCTTTACAATAAACAATTATTACGCATATGATAATTTGAAATTAGGATTATCATGAATATTACATATAAACC